TCCAGATTGGTCACCAGCATTTCAGAAATTCTAACCTCTGCCACAAACTGGTTCTTGTCATGCAAGTGGCAGAACAGTGGGAACAGGCTCTGGCGTACATTCCTCTGTAGGGACATTTTACCCCCTTCCTCTACCAACTCCATCACTGCTTGAAAGAGGCGAATAGAGAGCAGCTGCACAGGACCAGTATCCTAGTAAAAAGGAAGAGAGCAAGAACCTCAGAACTGATTGCTCCAGGCCCACCCGGGCATGGAACTGAAAATCCACAATGAAACAGTTTCCTGCCAGCACCCAGCACATGTGGTGGGGGGCACAGAGCCTTACATTGACGAAGAGTGTCTGGAGTGCCTCAATCAGGTGCAGAGCAATGGAAGTAGCAATTGGCGCATCTCTGTTCAGGAGCATGTCGCTGAGCACAGAGAGGGTCATCTCCCTCACCTCCCTGTCTTCCTCTTTCAGCAGCTCTGTGAGGCTTTCAGTCAGGGCCCACATTGTGTTGGCCTGTGTGGAACACAATGCAATGTTGTGAAGCCATGAAAGGCTGCATGGCCAGAACCACTCCAGCAGTTCAATCCCATGCTACTGCCTCAGAGCCCAGAAGCCAAAGGCCTGTTCCGATGGGATCTGGTAGATGAATGGGAAGCCAGAAGAGCTGGAAGAAGTTGCCATTCTCAAGTCCATCCAAGTGCAAGCTATTGTTCTACTCAGCCACCCACTGACTGGCTGGCTGCCTGCTTCTCACCATAGAGGGTCTCTTGCAGAGCGCCACAAGGCATCTGAGCACCAGGAGACGCATCACTCTGGACTCCCTCCACAGGTAGATTGGGAAAAGCTGTAGGATGCGTTCACCCCATTGCTTTGTGGTAAGGCAAGGCAGGATCTGAAACACACAAATCAGTGACAGGGATGCACAGCTGATACAACCCTATCACTGCACAGGGCTAGGTACGAACAACAATAAGGGCATATGCAAGATCAATGGCAGCAGACCCCAAAGGTAGTAGAGGCTGCAGAGCACCCCTGTGTTTCCACTGTCATGCACAGGTTGCTCACTTGCTCCACTCTGTCCCCCAGCCTGCAATATGGCCTTGTAAAAGCATGAGGGAAGAGGAGGAGCTGTCACAAGGATAGCACAAACCATAGGTGTCGTAAGTATCACCCCAACAAAAAGAGACAAAGAGCATAAAGCAGAGCCCACCTCTACCCCTCTTTCACCAGCTGGACTCCCCTACAGCTGCATCTCCAAAAGGGCAGAGTGGTGGTATGGATGCTAGCTTTGGAGCAGGCTGCAGGCCCATGGCCTCTCAGTCCTGCCTGAGAAGCTAGCCTGGGAAATTCATAGGAGGATTTCAAAACAATCCTCAGAGACAGAAAACAACTGCCAGGTGCTGTTTGTCTGTCCTCTTGTTTTCCCTTGCAGGAGAAAGTCAGGGGGGTAGTGTGCCCCTGACCAATGATAGTGATGTAGCACTTTGCTAACCAATAAGAGTTTCTTTTCTGTACCTTCCACGTACCAGTCTATAAAACAGGCCTGAAGTAATAAACCAGAGAATTCTCATGTTGAGACTCCCTTGAGAGTCCATGTTGTTCTTTTTAGCCGTTCCCAATTGGAACAACATGGTGGGACACAGCTCAGCAAGGCAGTGCTCAGGACACAGCTCAGCAAGGCAGTGCTCACCATCAGGCTCACCTCAACAAGGAAAGCCATGGCAGCGACCTCCCAGCGGGCTTCCTCTCTGCGGAGCAGCCTGAACAGGTAGCGTGCAATCCGGTAACAAGAGGACTCTGAGGTCCTGAGCATTGTTCTGGCAGGGGAAAAAGACATCTTCAACTATGAGCAGGGCAGGCAAATCTCTCCTGTGACTGACTCACAGAGGTCTCATATTTCACCACTGCCTCTTGCAAGGAGGAAGGTGAACATCAGCAGGCTCATTTCAGGAATGAAGAGGCTGAAAACCCATTCTGCCCACGGGCCAGTCCTGTCCCCCTGATGCAAATTCCCTGTACCCAGCAAGCTGTCCTTAGTGAGGCTGCCTGCAGACAGAACTCCTGCTTTGTGCCATCAGCACAGACACACGGGCATTTTGGGTTGTGGCTGCTCCAATGCACCCAAGCCCTTCAAGGCTTTGTCACTCTGCTGCACCATCCATCCATGACAAGTCCCTCTCACTCATGACCACAGGGATTATGTACATACTGTGAAGAAGTAACAGCTGGAGCAGGGAGACTGGGGCTCTCACCTGGCCAGAAGACCCATTGTATTGTGGTGGGTGTCAGGGTTGAGGAGTGTGTCCCACCCACACTCACGTTCAACTCCAGACACCACATCCTCATAATCAAGGTGACAGAGCAGCGCTTTCAGGGTCACCAATGCAAATCTGTGTGCAGAGCAAAGCTCAGGTCATGCCACAGATCCTGGCCCCAGCTCCAAGGGTACTGGAGAGATGAGAGGACCAGAATGGAGCACCTGGTGGGGTTGCTGGGCAGGCAGTGCTTGTGCTGGCATTGCCTCCAGAAGGCTTTGACCTCCACTGGCAGCTGGTCTGTGCTGGAGAAAACTTGGAAGAGCAGAGCCACAAAGAGGCGCGGGAAATACATAATCAATATCTCTGGGCACTGGGGCAGGTGAATGATCTCCCACAGTGCTCTGGTTGCCTGCAAAAACCAAAACAGCCAGGGACCATGCTAGCACTGAGACATTTCTGTGGCAGGGCCCAGCTGTGGGAGGATAAAGCTCAGGCCTTGCTCTGTGCCTGGGCAGATGCAGGGGGAGCAGCATCTGACCTGGCTGCCTCTGCACCTGCCATGAACCCAGGTTTCTAGCACACCAAGTGGGGCAGGGGATGCAGAGGTGGGGGACAAAGGATGGAGAGGTGCCAGAGAGGCAGCCTTTGAGGATGTGCTTGGGTGTAGTCCAGAAACTCACGGCCAAGGAAAAGACATCTGCATTGTCCTTATCAGAGGTGGATGTGCTGTGCTGCGGCCAGTCTTCCAGCACACAGAGGAGCTCTGGCAGCACCTTTTCTGCAATTCTTCTTGAGGAGACAATCGCCCTCCACATGGTCATAGCAACACTGTTGGTCCAGAACTCTGTGTCAGTGGGGTTTTGGCCACAACATAGTGGCCTGAGCAGCTGCAGAATCTCCAGCTGGTCCCCATCTCTGCCTCTGCCCACATGTGAGGGCGGAGTGTACAGGCTGATGGGCTCTCAGGCTGCTAAGTCTTGAGCCCTCCAGGCCAGTGGGTCTTTTACCTATCACATGATGTGGCACACCGCAGGAGGGTCACCACTACATCATGTGGCTGTTCCAGGGTCATCTCCTGCAGGGTTTTATCCAGTCTGTGCTCAGCAGCCACATCCCTGACATAGGAGAGCCATTGGTAAATGTCCCTCACAATGGTCGGCACCTGGAGGAAACATGGCAGAGAATTGGAGTGCCACTACAGTGAGCCACTTCTCCAGCTTATCCCCATGAAGTGCTTTCCTTTGCAATACACTGTGCTGGCCTTAAAAAGCATTGAGTCCATCCTTACCATGCACTTTTCACCTCTCCATTTGCTTTCCAACAGATCCTCTAATTTACTTTCCTGCAGAAATGTGTTAAGTTGAAGCAGAGTTTCCCAAGAGGCCTGTAGAGCAGCAGATAACACAAGATTTAACCTCTGCTGAGAGCACAAAACCTGTATCACCTGCACCTGGGCAGCGCTCAGGGCCTTTCCTGCCCCTTAGTAGGAAGATGCAGCAAATGGGAAACCATGAGTCAATTTGTTGCCTGGGCAGAGTGACAGGTCAACACCCATCTCAGGCACCTAGTACCGCCAGGACAGCAGAATAGAGGTACCCCAGAACTGCTGCTCTGTAGCTAAAACAAGGAAGATGCATGGGCCTTTGGCTCATCAAGGCATCAGCACAGGAGGCAGCCAAGTCACCTCCAGATTGGTCACCAGCATTTCAGAAATTCTAACCTCTGCCACAAACTGGTTCTTGTCATGCAAGTGGCAGAACAGTGGGAACAGGCTCTGGCGTACATTCCTCTGTAGGGACATTTTACCCCCTTCCTCTACCAACTCCATCACTGCTTGAAAGAGGCGAATAGAGAGCAGCTGCACAGGACCAGTATCCTAGTAAAAAGGAAGAGAGCAAGAACCTCAGAACTGATTGCTCCAGGCCCACCCGGGCATGGAACTGAAAATCCACAATGAAACAGTTTCCTGCCAGCACCCAGCACATGTGGTGGGGGGCACAGAGCCTTACATTGACAAAGAGTGTCTGGAGTGCCTCAATCAGGTGCAGAGCAATGGAAGTAGCAATTGGCGCATCTCTGTTCAGGAGCATGTCGCTGAGCACAGAGAGGGTCATCTCCCTCACCTCCCTGTCTTCCTCTTTCAGCAGCTCTGTGAGGCTTTCAGTCAGGGCCCACATTGTGTTGGCCTGTGTGGAACACAATGCAATGTTGTGAAGCCATGAAAGGCTGCATGGCCAGAACCACTCCAGCAGTTCAATCCCATGCTACTGCCTCAGAGCCCAGAAGCCAAAGGCCTGTTCCGATGGGATCTGGTAGATGAATGGGAAGCCAGAAGAGCTGGAAGAAGTTGCCATTCTCAAGTCCATCCAAGTGCAAGCTATTGTTCTACTCAGCCACCCACTGACTGGCTGGCTGCCTGCTTCTCACCATAGAGGGTCTCTTGCAGAGCGCCACAAGGCATCTGAGCACCAGGAGACGCATCACTCTGGACTCCCTCCACAGGTAGATTGGGAAAAGCTGTAGGATGCGTTCACCCCATTGCTTTGTGGTAAGGCAAGGCAGGATCTGAAACACACAAATCAGTGACAGGGATGCACAGCTGATACAACCCTATCACTGCACAGGGCTAGGTACGAACAACAATAAGGGCATATGCAAGATCAATGGCAGCAGACCCCAAAGGTAGTAGAGGCTGCAGAGCACCCCTGTGTTTCCACTGTCATGCACAGGTTGCTCACTTGCTCCACTCTGTCCCCCAGCCTGCAATATGGCCTTGTAAAAGCATGAGGGAAGAGGAGGAGCTGTCACAAGGATAGCACAAACCATAGGTGTCGTAAGTATCACCCCAACAAAAAGAGACAAAGAGCATAAAGCAGAGCCCACCTCTACCCCTCTTTCACCAGCTGGACTCCCCTACAGCTGCATCTCCAAAAGGGCAGAGTGGTGGTATGGATGCTAGCTTTGGAGCAGGCTGCAGGCCCATGGCCTCTCAGTCCTGCCTGAGAAGCTAGCCTGGGAAATTCATAGGAGGATTTCAAAACAATCCTCAGAGACAGAAAACAACTGCCAGGTGCTGTTTGTCTGTCCTCTTGTTTTCCCTTGCAGGAGAAAGTCAGGGGGGTAGTGTGCCCCTGACCAATGATAGTGATGTAGCACTTTGCTAACCAATAAGAGTTTCTTTTCTGTACCTTCCACGTACCAGTCTATAAAACAGGCCTGAAGTAATAAACCAGAGAATTCTCATGTTGAGACTCCCTTGAGAGTCCATGTTGTTCTTTTTAGCCGTTCCCAATTGGAACAACATGGTGGGACACAGCTCAGCAAGGCAGTGCTCAGGACACAGCTCAGCAAGGCAGTGCTCACCATCAGGCTCACCTCAACAAGGAAAGCCATGGCAGCGACCTCCCAGCGGGCTTCCTCTCTGCGGAGCAGCCTGAACAGGTAGCGTGCAATCCGGTAACAAGAGGACTCTGAGGTCCTGAGCATTGTTCTGGCAGGGGAAAAAGACATCTTCAACTATGAGCAGGGCAGGCAAATCTCTCCTGTGACTGACTCACAGAGGTCTCATATTTCACCACTGCCTCTTGCAAGGAGGAAGGTGAACATCAGCAGGCTCATTTCAGGAATGAAGAGGCTGAAAACCCATTCTGCCCACGGGCCAGTCCTGTCCCCCTGATGCAAATTCCCTGTACCCAGCAAGCTGTCCTTAGTGAGGCTGCCTGCAGACAGAACTCCTGCTTTGTGCCATCAGCACAGACACACGGGCATTTTGGGTTGTGGCTGCTCCAATGCACCCAAGCCCTTCAAGGCTTTGTCACTCTGCTGCACCATCCATCCATGACAAGTCCCTCTCACTCATGACCACAGGGATTATGTACATACTGTGAAGAAGTAACAGCTGGAGCAGGGAGACTGGGGCTCTCACCTGGCCAGAAGACCCATTGTATTGTGGTGGGTGTCAGGGTTGAGGAGTGTGTCCCACCCACACTCACGTTCAACTCCAGACACCACATCCTCATAATCAAGGTGACAGAGCAGCGCTTTCAGGGTCACCAATGCAAATCTGTGTGCAGAGCAAAGCTCAGGTCATGCCACAGATCCTGGCCCCANAGCGGGCCCAGCTGGCAGCGGCGCGGGGCCTGCGGGAGGCGGAGCCGCTCTGCGAACGGAAGGAAGCGCCTGCCTGGGCATGTTTGTTCCCGGCAGGGTGTAGGGGTGTGTGTTGTGGAAGGAGTGTTGCGCAATAGTGTCGCAGTCGGCCGTGCCTGGAGAAGCAGCGCTGATACCTGCCAGGTCGCGAATCATGCCATTTCATTGAATGGCGTTAAGTGCAGGTGGTAATATCGCAGTCCTCAGCCTTGTTTTGAATGTTTTACGGAGTCATCAAGATTTTGTTTCTCTCTCTTCCATCTTTATGTCTCTCCTTTCTTGTTATGTCTTGGCAAAGTATGGCTATCATAATTTACCCCTTGCTTTGTAACAAAGTCTGTGGTGAGGACTGGCAGGTTGCTAGTTGTAAATGAGAGCTTGTTAGCCAACACTTCCACTGTTCCATAGAAGTGCTGGAAGGGCCAGTTGCTGGATTTCAGGTCACTGTATAGTAAAAGGATAAAAGTCCCTGACACATGGACTGCTGTCTTTGTTCGAGTGTACAAAGAATTCACAGCGAACATCATGTCCCCAAACAGATAGGGAAGTTTTCTTAAAAGTTTGGCAATCCAAAAGGGACCCTAGGCCACCATCTTCACAGTCCCCCTTCTTCAGACATCCAACTGCTGTGGAGTCCATGGGGAACTGTGTGAGTTGACCTGAGATCTTTGAAGCAGGGAGGATACAAAGGATGAATGCTAAAATTCCCCAAATATATTCAATATAAACCGTAATGGTCTAAAATTATTTTTAATAAACTTCTTCATTCCAGACTTTTCCTTGCTGCAGCATTGTGTCCATAGTTGGTGAAATTTGGTTAGTGCATTGAGTATGGGAGCACAGCCTCCTCTGCAAAAGGCGCATACACAGGGGTTTTTAGAGTCTCTCCCAAGCTGCACAGGGGATTGAGGTGACCTGTACAGTGTGCAGGGTAGATGAGGTCTCTCCTAAGGCATGTGTGGGCTGCAGTCCCCTGTGATGTATGCAGGGGTTTTGGAGTCCCTAGTAAGGCATGCAGGGGCGGTGGTCCCCTAAGACCTGCAGGGAGGTTGAGGTTTAGGGACAGCTGTTGAAGAGGGGTCAGTCAGTCCTAAACGGGCAGGCAAAGGCTGTTCAGAACAGATGGTTCATGATCTCTGCTGGTCTTCACCAACTGGAGTGAGGAGATGAATTCATATGCCCAAATCCAGAGTGGCACAGATGGGTGTCACAAGGCACCCAGTGTGTTGATGAAACCTATCCCAGAGAAGCCACTGGATGCTCCAGGGAGCAGTCTGACAGTGCCCAGTGAGTTCTCATCAGCCAATGGGAAAGGAAAAGTCCATGTCAGACTGTACCCATATCCACAGCAGGTCTCCAAGGTGAACTGCCCATCTCCCAGCATTGCTGTGTGAACACTGACGGATGATTTGAGGGATTAACTAAACTTGTATAGCAAAAAAACATTGGTAGGAGAATTGTTAAAGAATTTTAAAAGATGAAGTAGGAAACAATTTAAAGATCTGTGCTATATCATGTGCAAGCGATAGTGTTTTAGTGTGTGGCGATTCTTTCAATACATTTCAAGAGTTTATTTTGCAACTAACAAATAGGCAATTTGTGCACAGATGGACCACATCTCTGGAAAGCACACACACTGAAGGAGTTGTTCACTCCAGATTGCTGCTATGTGCACATAGCCTCTCTTCAAAGAGTGGTGCCCACAAAGATCTGATGTAGAGGTATGCTCATTTTCAAGCCATGTGCTGTTTGTGACTATTTGAATTCATTGTTGTGGTGTAAATTTGAAATACCATGCCAAAAGGAGGTACTTCAGAAGTCATGCTGAAATGCTGCTCCATTTTTTGTATGTGCATGACTAGTACTTGTGCTTGTAATGGTGATAATTCTGTGTCTGTGTGTGTATATAGTTATAAACCCACATTTTTCTATGTGTACATTTATTTTAAATAAGAGGATAGTAAACTTGCAAAAAATATTTGAAGACTTCCTCCAGAATATGGAGAACTGTTGCAGTTATCTGGTAAGATTTGCTATTTATAAACAAAGAGCATTCTTAGTGGCCTGGTTTACTGGCATGGTCACAGGAGCAGGAAATCTTTTTAGTATTCAAAACAATGTTATATCTATTAACTTGAGGAATTCTGTTTCATTTTCTTCCAGGAGGATAATATGCAAAGAGTACTGCCTGAGCAAGGAACTGTCTCTGTTGCCTAGTGTTTTTAATTGCCCCTTTGATGAAAAACAAAAGGAAAAGCTGCTGTTTTAAAAAAAAAAAAATTGTGAATGGGAAAGTGTTTTTACTTTTAGGAAGTATGTTAGGCCCCTTGAATCTGCAGAGGTTTTGGCACTTATTGCACTGCAATTAAGATACAAAATTACTGGAATCAGCTCTTGTACAAACAGTTCATGAAAATAACTTCTAAGAAAACTGTGATGAGAAAGAATGTTTGTAATTGGTAGATTAAGCTGCCCTAGCAGAAAGGGAACAGAGTGCATCTCCATCCATGCTTCAGATGTGTCAAAAGGAAATTTAAATCTTTAGGCTGCATTATGGGGAAGGGACAATAAATGATAACAAAGAGAGGCCATAATTAAGCTCTCATGTCTGAGCACAAAAAGTAGGCATGAGGTTTTCTCAGAGCTGTGGGATCTGAAATCCATGGATTCCTAGGTTAGGGGAACAGACTAAGTCTTTGACTGAGACCACTGAGAACTTAGAGTATAGCTAATGGAGAGGTAATGCAGAAATTAGGACCTCATAAGAAATCTATTGCAACTACACACAGTTGTAGCAGGAGCACCAGGCTGTATTAACTCAGCGGCAGCAGCAGGAGGAGCCCGAAGTCCTAATGCCACAACGGACACATAGATACTGCATCTTAACACCTTTAATCCAAAAACCTAATAGCAGTACCTGATGATGGAGAAAAACATCCTCAGTGTGAGAAAGTGATGCAAATTTCAAGTAAAGCACAGACTGATTTAAGTGATGTTCCCTCACATAAACCAGATGTAGTTCTATTTGCATATGGCTCATGCTACTCCCTCCAAGGACAGCAACAGGCTGGGCGTGCTGTAGTGAGCTGGGGACAGGTAACAGAAGCAGAACCACTTCCAGCAAGGATGCATGCACAAATAGCAGAACTGGTAGCTTTAATGCATGCAGCACTTACGGAAAGAGGGAAATGAGTGAATGTCTGTATAGATTCTTGGTATGCTCTTGGGCTGTGTCACACAATGGGGGTGTTGTGGGAAAAAACATGGGTTTTCACATCACCCAGTATAACGTACTGTTGTGACTCTGATGGCTGACAAGAGGAAATGCCAAATTTTATAAACCCTAAGACAATATAAAAGAAGGACTTCTCTACAGAAGAAGAGGTACAATGGGAAAAATGAAAGGCAACTCAGAATTATGATGGGATGTGGGCAATTAGGGGAATACCAATTCTGACAAAGAATAGTTAGTCACTCTGGCTATGTGGTTTCATGATAAATCTCATGGAGGGACACAGGCAATAGTTATCGAAGTACAAAACAATATGGCCAGCCCAGGAATTTATGCCACCACAAAAGAGAATCACAAATGGCTGGCCAACATGACATGAGTTTTCAAGTAGCAGAATGAGCTCATGCTTGGGCGGGTGACTATGGACTGATTTCCCTTTTCAGGGACTGCAGAGACCCCACAGAAATGTCACCTGTGGCAGGGTGGTAGTAGACCAACTGTCAGGCTAGGCAGAAGCCTTCCCAACAAGAAAGACTTATTCAGGAGGAAGAATAGAAGCCTTCATAAAGAAACCAGTATATATATAGCAAATATGATACCAAAATTTTCCAGATAGAAACTTTCTACAACAGCTTTGAGAATTAGGAAACAGACATTCTTTATTGAAGCATGCTGGTCATTCGGAGGATCCTTCGTCTAATTAATTGCCCTGACTGTTGGGTAAACAGAGTTTTTTTCATGCCACGCTGATTTACATAATCGTTAGATTTCACCACTTACTTGATGTACATGTTTTACTTTATGTTACATAGTCACACCCCTTATCAGAAGTCCTTACATGGTTCTTAGGGAGTCTTCTGTGGTCTTCAACATCTGATGTCCTTTTTAGGTGGCCGCTCCTTGACCCCCGCTTTTGAGTAAGTGCAGAATTGTTTAAAACTCCTGCTTTGTCAACCTTGCAGAGCTTAGCTGGCATCCTGCTTGTGTCTTATATGACTTATGCTTGATTAAGTTACATCCTGTTTCTATTTCTCCAAGGCTATGCTGTTCAGTTCTACCATCCTTATCAAATACAATCAATCAGCTTGCTAATAATACCAAGGTCACGTGCACCTTCAATCACCATATGAACTGTTTATTTAAGGAATTGGCCTCAATGATCATTGCAGGTCCCTTCCAATTCAGAATATTCTCTGTTAGATGGTGATGCCTGCCTGACTCAGTATGCTAACAAGTAGAGAAGGATCAATCTCTTGATCAGTAATTGATTTTTGAGGGTCCTTTGTGGTTTCATATTGATAAATATTTCTGTCCTATGACACTCTTGTTAGCCTTAACTCTGTTAAGTTTGTTATTTGTTATAAAGCTGTATGTAAGAGCAGTGGTTAAATGCTTTGAAACTTTTTTTTTCTCTCCTAGTGTATTATCAGATATGCTCAATTAAAACATGGGTGGGAGTGTTGAGATACATGGTCAGTGCAGATAGGTCAGTGTTCAGCTGCAGTGCCAGCTGTAGATTTGGCTCTGACTGGCAGGAGCCCAAAGAAAGAGACTGTGAACCTTTAGTTCACAAAAAATAGTGCCTGTTTTTGCATTTTAAAAGTGTCTTTAAAAGGGGTGAAGAAAAGTAATCTAAGAGAAGAGATGTTCTGTGTGTTGGGAGAGGCCAGAAGCCACCTAATATTTCCATTCATATGGCCCTGAGAGCTCCTGGGGTCAGTAGTGCAAGGACTTCCTGCAGCGTAACCCAACATTGCCATGTCCCGAGACAGGAGTTTGCTTCTTCCATGCCTCACAGAGCTGGTTTTGCAGAAGCTTGAATCTGGAGTAAGGATTTCTCTCTGCAGTTCTTAGAAAGTGCCGGGCTTGAGTAACGAGGTTAGAGATGGAAGGGCTAAAGTTATTTGTTGTGCCTTGAAGAGCTGGAACAGAGAGGAATAGAGACAAGGTCGGAGCCCAGACCTTCAGGGACTCCAGGGATCTCTTTTGTGAGGGCTGCCCCACCCCACCCAATCGCAGATCTTCCCATGCACACAGGGGAACTGGAAGAGGATAAATTCTAAAGTGCTTGCCATGAATACCTCTTGTGTCCCTTAAATCTGTCTGCTCTGTTCACACCACTCCTTGTGTGGACAGAGAGCAGAACCCTGCCCAGGATCTTTCATACTTCACACCTGTCCCTTCTGACATCCCACTGCTCTCACTGATCCTCACAGGTGACCTGGAACAATTCCTGCTGCCTGCTCAAGTAGCAGCTGCTAAGCACTTGGGACTCCAAGCCTGGCATCACCCCAGTGGCACAGCTCCCCAGCACCAGTGCTGCCAGCCTGGCCACATGTCCTCCTCCTCTTGGTAGGACTGAGCCCCATGTATAAAGCACAAGGGCAAGGGTGGGAGGGGCAGGGAGTCCTGAGGCACAGTCAGGGAACCAGAGCTAATGGGCTGAGTCCTGCTCCTGGGGCTGGGGCCAAACTGCAGTAGGGCAGCGAGAGACCCTGAGGGTTTTGGCTCACCAGTGAGCCTAATGGCTGCCTCTCGCATGGACTTCTGTGGGCTTTGCAGGTACATCACAGACTGGCGCAGGTACCCATCTGCTCTGTCTCTGTCCTCTTCCAGCTGGAGAAAGCACAAGGGGACAGAGGGAAGGGTTGGAAATGACTCTCCCCCTTGGATGGGCAGCCCCTGCATCCAGGACTGACATCCCTGCATGGAAACCCCTGAAGGCCAGCCAACAGCTGGGCTGGAGGGAGCAGAGAGATGGTTACTCCACAGGTAACTTCAGTGCTGTCCTGATGCCACAAAGCACTGTTGGGTTGGGGCTTTGTTGGCAGCCTGGCTCAGGGCTGCACAGAAGCCTGGAGAAGAGCCTGCTGGGCCACACACCCAAGGGGAGTAGTATGTGGTGAACAGGCTGTTGGTGATGAGTGCAGCACTATGCAGGGGCCACAGCTGCCAGCCCCTCATAGTGGGTTTTGAGGGTAGAGGGCTTGTTCAGAGATGGTGTGGGGTCACCCTTACCAGGCGCTCACCAAACCTCCACAGCTCTTCTGTCTCCAGCAGCTGCTCAAGATTCCTTTTCTTCAGGAATATCGTTGCTTGAATCAGGGTTTCCCAAGAGGCCTGCAGAGCAGCAGACACTGGGAGATGGCACAGCATCCCAGGACAAAGGACCAGCCAAAGGCCAGAAGGAGGCAGGAGTACTGCATTCTTTGAGATATTACAGTAGAAGGCAGCTGAGCCTCCTCTCAGGGGACACCAGTAGCCCAGTGTCCTTACCTCTGCCACAGACTGATTCTCATCATGCATGTGGTAGAAAAGCGGGAGCAGGCTCTGGTGCACACAGTCCTTCAGGGGCTTTCGTTCTTCTTGATCTACCAACTCCATCACCGCTTGAAAGAGTCGAATGGAGAGCAGCTGCACATGGTTGGCATCCTAGTGAAGACATAAAGAACCTCAGCACTGCCTACTCCAGGCCTACCTGGGAATCAAGTGAAAATCCACAAGGAAATAGTTTCCTGGCAGCATCTCGGAGAGTCAGGGGGTAGCACAGAGCCTTACACTGTCAAAGAGTGGCTGGAGTGCCTCAGCCAGCTGCAGAGCGAGGGAACTGGCAATTGGTGCATCTCTGTTCAGGAGAATGTCACTGAGCACTGAGAGGGTCAGCCACACCACCTCCCTGTCTTCCTCTTTCAGCAGCTCTGTGAGGCTTTCAGTAAGGTCTTGCATGCTTTCAGCCTGTGTGGAACACAATGCAATGTTGTGAAGCCATGAAAGGCTGCATGGCCAGAACCACTCCAGCAGTTCAACTCCATGCTACTGCCTCGGAGCCCAGAAGCCAAAGGCTATGGCAGGCAAATTGGGAGTTAAGAGGGATGGAAGAACCTGCCCATCTTCTGATGTCCAGCCAAGTGCAAGCTACTGTGCTACTCAGCCACACACTGCTTGCTTGCATAGCTTCAGCTAGGCAGCCTGCTTCTCACCATAGAGGGTCTCTTGCAGAGTGCCACGAGGCATCTGAGCACCAGGAGACGCATTACACTGCACTTCCTCAACAGGTAGATTTGGACAAGCTGTAGCATTCGTCCATCTAAGTTCTTTAAGTTAAGGCAGGGTAGGACCTGAAACACACACAGCAGTGACAGTGTCGCCACAGCTGCAAGGGACAAAGAGCACAAAGCAGAGCCCACCTCTACCCCTCCTTCACGAGATGGACTCCCCTACAGCTGCATCTCCAAAAGGGCAGAGTGGTGGGACACAGCTCAGCAAGGCAGTGCTCACCATCAGGCTCACCTCAACAAGGAAAGCCATGGCAGCGACCTCCCAGCGGGCTTCCTCTCTGCGGAGCAGCCTGAACAGGTAGCGTGCAATCCGGTGACAAGAGGACTGTGAGATCCTGAGCATTGTTCTGGCAGGGGAAAAAGACATCTTCAACTATGAGCAGGGCAGGCAAATCTCTCCTGTGACTGACTCACAGAGGTCTCGTATTTCACCACTGCCTCTTGCAAGGAGGAAGGTGAACATCAGCAGGCTCATTTCAGGAATGAAGAGGCTGAAAACCCATTCTGCCCACGGGCCAGTCCTGTCCCCCTGATGCAAATTCCCTGTACCCAGCAAGCTGTCCTTAGTGAGGCTGCCTGCAGACAGAACTCCTGCTTTGTGCCATCAGCACAGACACACGGGCATTTTGGGTTGTGGCTGCTCCAATGCACCCAAGCCCTTCAAGGCTTTGTCACTCTGCTGCACCATCCATCCATGACAAATCCCTCTCACTCATGACCACAGGGATTATGTACATACTGTGAAGAAGTAACAGCTGGAGCAGGGAGACTGGGGCTCTCACCTGGCCAGAAGACCCATTGTATTGTGGTGGGTGTCAGGGTTGAGGAGTGTGTCCCAACCACACTCACGTTCAACTTCAGACACCACATCCTCATAATCAAGGTGACAGAGCAGCGCTTTCAGGGTCACCAATGCAAATCTGTGTGCAGAGCAAAGCTCAGGTCATGCCACAGATCCTGGCCCCAGCTCCAAGGGTACTGGAGAGATGGGAGGACCAGAACGGAGCACCTGGTGAGGTTGCTGGGCAGGCAGTGCTTGTGCTGGCATTGCCTCCAGAAGGCTTTGACCTCCACTGGCAGCTGGTCTGTGCTGGAGAAAACTTGGAAGAGCAGAGCCACAAAGAGGCGCGGGAAATACATAATCAATATCTCTGGGCACTGGGGCAGGTGAATGATCTCCCACAGTGCTCTGGTTGCCTGCAAAAACCAAAACAGCCAGGGACCATGCTACCCACTGAGACATTTCTGTGGCAGGGCCCAGCTGTGGGAGGATAAAGCTCAGGCCTTGCTCTGTGCCAGGGCAGATGCAGGGGGAGCAGCATCTGACCTGGCTGCCTCTGCACCTGCCATGAACCCAGGTTTCTAGCACACCAAGTGGGGCAGGGGATGCAGAGGTGGGGGACAAAGGATGGAGAGGTGCCAGAGAGGCAGCCTTTGAGGATGTGCTTGGGTGTAGTCCAGAAACTCACGGCCAAGGAAAAGACATCTGCATTGTCCTTATCAGAGGTGGATGTGCTGTGCTGCGGCCAGTCTTCCAGCACACAGAGGAGCTCTGGCAGCACTTTATCTGCAATTCTTCTTGAGGAGACAATCGCCCTCCACATGGTCATAGCAACACTGCAGGCCCAGAACTCTGTGTCAGTGGGGTTTTGGCCACAACACAGTGGCCTGAGCAGCTGCAGAATCTCCAGCTGGTCCCCATCTCTGCCTCTGCCCACTGCACCCATCCAGCAGCACCCATCCAGACTGTTACTGTGAGTAGCAGACAGCCAAAGGATGGTGCCTCGATGGGCAGTGAAGGAGCATGGCAGCAGGGTCTCATCATGCCATGACTGGGAAAGAAGGGCGTCAGAGTGGCCTGAAAATCTTCCCCTTTCTGCCAGCACATGTGGGGCAGGGTGTACAGGTTGATGGGCTCTCAGGCTGCTAAGTCTTGAGCCCTCCAGGCCAGTAGGTGTTTTACCTGTCACACGATGGGGCACACCGCAGGAGGGTCACCACCACATCATGGGGATGTTCAAGGGTCATCTCCTGCAGGGTTTCATCCAGACTGTATTCAATAGATACATCCGTAATGCATGAGAGCCATTGGTAAATGTCCCTCACAATGGTCGGCACCTGGAGGAGACATGGCAGAGAATTGGAGTGCCACTACAGTGAGCCATTTACCCAGCTTAACCCCATGAAATGCCTTCCTTTTCTAGCACACTGTGTGAGCTAAAAGTCTGTTGGATTCTCAGCAGACACAGTTTGAGTATGTACACATTTGCTGATTGGCCAAGCCCTTGCCATTGACAACTTACTGTCTTCAGTCTGGGGGTGCTGTTTCCCATGATCACATCCAGCACATCAGGACAATGCCTTGCTTTATAGATGCAAGAATTTGCCATGCCCTCATGGGCCAGGATGCTGCTGTCTTCACTATCAATCGACTCATGGTCGTCTTGAAATATCTTAGGGCAGGAAAAAGAGGGATGTCAAATCTAGTGCTCTGCAGCAGTGCTTGGCTAAGGTGCAGCAGCAGGTCCAGCCCAGGCAGGGAAGTCTGCAAGTACCTGTGCACTTCTGTGGAAGTGACAATGGGTGTATTTCTTCTCTTCTGGCAGTTTCTTAACTGGAGTTTGCAAAAAGCAAGCACAGTCAGACCTGAGGGACTGCAGGAGGGCCTGGAGAACACAGTTGAGCCCTGCACTCCCCAGCAAGGGCCAGCTCTCAGACAATAGCTTGTGGAGACACCAATCCCTGTCTCTCTGGCTGCAGCCTGGGGCTGATTCCCCCAGTGGATGGTGCAGGAGTACTGGGGAAATCAGCCCCATTCCCATTTACCCTTCTTCCCTGAGGATGTTAACAGTGGATGGGATGACCCAGCTCAGCCACTTACCTTTCTGCAGCTGCTGGAGTCTCTTCACCTCTTCAGGCCGCTGTATTGGAGTAGCCCCAGGGCTTTTATCATCATTTTCCTCCTCTTTCCCCTCCTCCCCTTTCCTCCCTTTCACTGAGGTCAATCTGGGCATGCTTGGGGTTCTCTCCACTGGGGGTTCTCTCTGGTCGATCCTGCTGGAGCTTGGACTTTGAGGGCTGCAGCCACAGGGATGGGAGATACCTTGGAAAAGTGGAAAATATATGCATCAGCAAGACATGAGGTGGGTATACAGGGCCTCTTTGCAGGCCTGCTCTGTTCCCTCATGTCCTGTTTTATCCTCTGGGCTTATGTGGGTGGATGCCTTGGCAACAGAGACAGGTCACAAAGTGGCCATACTGTGGTGGGTCACAATGGGCCCTGTGACACATGACATCCAATTGGCAGTGCCTATATCACAATGGGTCACACAAGGGTCCATGGCGTGTACCATCCAATTGTCAGTGCCCATATCATGGTGGGTGGTTGCCATGAATTATATGACATATATTTATTCATGGAGACATCATACTCATATAGAAGTCAGAACTATGGGCATGTGTTGCTTTGATGATGTCTCTACCAATGTTCTGGATGTCTCTATCAGGTTCTGGATTCTCTGTCTGATCTTTCTCAAGCTACTATGTCTTCATCCTCCAGGGTTCTCATGTTTGTCCCAGTGGGTCAGACTGTAACCTCCCAGGCCTCTCATCCTACAGTCCAAAGAGAGCGGGAAACAAAACTTATCACATCAAACTCACCTTGTTTGTAGACAGTGAAAGGACAGTACAAGCACAAGCCAGAAAAACCTTTACCTCAGCAAGGCATCAACACTGGTGACAATTCCAAGAATGTGGATAGTGGGTGTCTCTGCCACGCTCTACCCCAGAATCACAGTCATGATCTGACCAGTGTCTTTGGAGTGGTGGTGCTTCCAAAGTTAAAAGGAGATGCAATGTTACTGAGTTGCAATGCCTCCATAGATCATCATTCTTCAAGTGCCATTAGCAATGAACAACTGATCAACAATAAGAACAATAAGCGCACAGTAATAACCAACATTGTAGAAACAATTAACAGTAGTAATAGGCAAACAGGGATGGGGGTACCATCTTAGGGTTGTATGGGGACATCTAGCATGAAAAGGAGGCGGATGAAGAATGTTAACTGCACATGTTTTCAGGGTACATTACTGTCACAGGTGGGGTTTAAGGGCGTTTTACCATGGAGACTGGTTTTATTATGGTGCTCTTATTGCTGTAGATCATGATCCAAATTAAAATAACCACAATTATAATAATTATCGAAGTCTGAAAGAGTCTGGTTAGCCAGCTGACAAGAAAACCCAGGTGCATTGAGAACTGCTCCTAGCCAGTTACCAGTGCAGCAGCAATCTCCCTGTTGTCTCTATTGTTTCATTCAGCTCTTCATGCAGTGACATTGAAACATTTGGGATGCGGACACACAATCACCTACTGATAAAATCATCTTTCCACATGCACCTTTCTCTTTTAATAGGATTAAATAAAATTAAACTCTTGTTTTGAATAGTCGTTTTGCTGTTTCCTTGTAATTGGTGGGTCAGGAAGCATGGTTTGGAGAGTCTCAGAAGGGAGCATTAAATTATAGATGGGCTGGTTTTGCATGATTGACATTTGGTGAGCAGGGAAAAAGCCACCCACAGAGATGATTTTTCTGGGAGGGGCTGCTAACAGCTTCCTCTGTTCCTAGCAAAAACCAATAACTGGCTAGCTCTGAGAAATGACAACCTATTGAAACACTTGGAAGTTGGGTCTGCATCTGTGAGATTCACATTTTAAAGACGGGCAAGCCCAGGACATCTTTCTCTTGGCTTCCATCCTTGAACAGGTAAATGCTTGCGCGGCCTGACGGGGCTGAGCCGCGTCTCTGCTGTTGTGCTGGCCCTTTCCCAGGCAGCCTTCTGGGTCCCATGCCAGCAGGCCCTCCCTCCCACTTCCCCAGTCCTTTCTCCAGCAGTGCTGCCAGGGCCATGCCAGCCGGCAGCTATACCAGCGCTGGGAGCAGCCATGCAGGCGGGACCAGTGCCAAGAGTAGCTCTGCAGTCAGCGCTGGGGGCAGCCCCGAAGGCAGGGGAGTAGCCTCATGACCTCCACCATCTCGGATCGGGAGCAGCCACGTGTCCAGGACTGCAGGGCCGAAGAATCAGTGCAACCAGGACAGCAGCATGGGGCCATTTCTGCCTTGGCATGGCTCGCAATGGACTTTCTTTGTTTAGCCGCTTTTAGCCAGCCATGCTGCAGAGAGAAGGACAAAAACAGTGGCAGCAGAAGCTTTTCTTGTTTCTGGCGCTCTACATGAAGAAAAATGCTGAGTGGAGCTGGCGGCCGACACAGCTCGCGTGGCGTTGGCAAAGACCAAGTGACCAGCCGTGACAGGCATGGTGAGCGATCTCCCTGATGCACAACCTGGATGAGATCCACCTTTCAGCACTGCAGAACTCGATAAAAACTGTTTCAGTTGATAAAGCTTGAGAACAAATGAACCTACCAACACCAATTCTCTCCTGAATCAGGAGAAAGGAAAGGGTGAAGACAAGGAAAGAAAACAATATGGGACACTGAGGTCAGTAGAGAAGGAGTCAAATTCTAATTAGGAGGGGATTGAGGATATGCCTTGATCTTGGGCTGAAATTCTCTTTGCAAGGGTATGGTGAAGATATATTTTTGATATATCAGACTTCGATTTTTCCCTGTAATTCAGAAATTGCATGGGGGGATGCAGCATTCACCTGCAGCCCATGAGAAAAGGGCACTTGTTCTGGAGTATGTGGATGCTGAAAAGCTGTAATCCAGTGAGAACAGAGAGTGATCCAATGAACAGAGAGAGATGAGAGATGAGAAACTTTGCCCCAGGAATAAAAGAAAAAAAGTCTCTGTTCTCAGAGATAAGAAAACTTTTGAGAGGTTTTTTTTTTTTTTTGCTAGAACAACTCATAAAGTAGTACTCCATAAGTTGACATGGGCCATGACATGGCCCATGAAAGCAGCTTTGGGAAAGCTGCAAGGCATGGGAGGGACTTTCCCACTGAGAACATTTTTTCCTTTCCTGGGCAGCTGATTGTCTGTGACACTGAAGCCACAAGAGAACTATTCCTTGTGGAGAAGTCTCTGTGGCATGGCAAAAGAAACTCCTCTGAGTAGTAAGTAATTAAAAATCTCATGTTTTGTCTCTATGTTGTCCATAGGAAAGAAAAGAGGTTGTGGACAGGGGAGAAGGTTTTATTCTGACTTTTTTTAAATTTTTTTTTTATTTTTTTTTTTTTTAGTTCTGTTAATAAATAATATTATAATAAAGTAATAAAGTTTTATTTATACCTTTCTTTATGCCTTTAAAGTTTGAGCCTGCTTTATTGTCCTCCCAATTAATATCTCGCAGCAGGAAATGAGTACATACATCTAGAAGGTGCACTGGTGATTTTAGCCAGCGCTTAACCCACTACAATGGAGCATTAAATTATGCATGACCCTGCAAGTATTCCCAATGATCTTTTTTAGAGTAGGGGGAGGGACCAGGATTGCTCTGTTGCTATACTCTGTGACACCAGTTTATAACATGATAATATCAAGGGCAATGGGGGGGGTCAGTGTATTCAATGTTGTTTTCCTGCTAGTTCTGGGGATTCATTAATAATAGCATCCAATCTGTGGGAGAAACAGGGCAGGATGATTTTCTCCAGCTTTTCACCTCCTTTTCCTCTCTTCAGGCCTATTAAAACAGCTTTTGAGAACTTTAAATTCCCTTTGAATGTTAAGGACAGAATGTTTCTGCCACTAAGTTTACTAGGTCTCCCCAGTGCAGTCCACATCATGTTTGGAGTTATGAAAGAGGCTTTTAGCAAGGTCTTTCAGGTACCTGCCCTGGGGGTGGATAGTTGTGAGTGGCATGGAATATGGGAGAAAATGGTATTTGAAGGACTTCTCCAATGGTTTGGAAGTTCACCCCTGAGAAAACTACAGGACGCTGATAAAGTGACAGAATATTTGCAAGGAGAATGTTCTGACAACTCTGGAGAGGAGCGACTTATTCTAGTGTGTTGGGTCCTGGCTACTCTTTACCAGATATAGTTCAATACTAGACAGCACTCTCAGGGGGAAGAGGAGGCAAGCAGACCAGCAGGCACTGTGGCCAAACTGCAGGTGAACCAGAGGAGCAACTCGGGCTGGTAGCACTCTTAGAAGAAGAAATTCAAGACCACTTTGCATAGAGAGGGATCAAGAAGGAAGTGGGGCCCTCACAAGAGGAGCAAGAGTCAGAGTCAGAGATAATCTCCCAGTCCCTATCCTTGGGTGAGCTGCAAGTTATGTAAATAGATTTCAGCGACCAGCCAGCTGAACCGCTGTTGCAGTGCAGTTATTGGTTTATTCCAATGTTCCCCTGTGTTCTCCCCATGTTGGCATATCCCTAAGTTGCATCCTCCCCTATGCTGCCTATCATTTTGACCCATCCTGTTATTCCCAAACCTTCCCTGCCTGTCACTGTGACCCTGCCCCTTCTTCCAGGTCCTTCCCTGTCAATCCCCAGTTAGGCCAATCTCTGATTGTACCACCCGTCTGGAAATCCCCTAACCCTTGATGCCCCCATTGGCCCATGTGACATGCTCTCTCCACCCACTTATCCTATTGGTCAGTGTATTGTAAACCCCACCTCATGCTCCTCCCCTGTTTATCTCTGATTGGTTAAAATTTTGTACACACCCCCTGAAACCTCCCTGTATTTAATCCCAAGCACAGAGGTGCTCAGGGCTCTACTGTCCCTGACCCTTTCAGCCTCAGTAAACCCAGGGTGCTGGAACCCATACAGAGAGCTTCGTCCTTACTCTTTTGCCTTATCCCTGACACCTGTTTCCATAGAGCAAGTGGCTCCAAAGGTTCAGCCTCAGGAGTTGCTTCTCCAAGGCTGTTCCCCACATCTGGCATGGTGCCGGTGTGCACAGAGAACTAGCCAGGACTCCAGTGACTGTGTCACACCCCTGAGGACCTGGATCCTCCAATGCCAAGATACTACGGTTGATGATATGAAACCAGATGGTAATGAAGCCAAGCAACTGGGATCCCTGATGCAGGACAAGGGGATTTGGAATAGGACAGAAATATTCATCCTCTGGAGGTGACTCCTGTCAAGCATCAGGAAAAGGTATTCTTTGAAGGATGATATAATACAGCAAAACAGGTGGAACATCATGGAGAAAGGTACCTGGTGCCTGAGAGAATTATCTCTGCTAGAGGTAATCTATACGGAGTCAAGTAAAAAGCAACCCCATGTAGATCCATGTGACATCCAGTGTAC